TTAAAAGTTTTTTTTTACAATTTCTTTAATTCAAATTTTTATTATAATTTAATTTAGATCTAATAGTGAAGTAATTTATTTTTGGCTTAACGATATAATTTTTATAAGAATAATGATTCTTTTAGAATTCAATGATTATTCTAATTATATTTTAGATTTTTTATATTTAAAATGAGATGTTTATCATATATTTGATTATGTTTATCTATGTGTTAGTTATACGAATTAAAAAATGAAGCGTTAATAAGTTGTACGTACACATAGTTTACTTGTAATCTTAAATTTTAAGTAATATGTATTAATAAACAATATTTCATGCATAAACAATGATTTTTAAAAGTTTTTGTCAAATATTTTATAATATAATATATATATATATATATATATATATATAGGGTTGGGTTCACGTGAGACCAGTTTGTTTTCGTGAGACCCGTGAGACCACGTTTTTACACGTAAACTTCACAGCAAAAACACTGTGAAGGTTTTAAAAAGTCGAACCTTCACAGCAAAAACACTGTGAAGGTTTTAAAAAGTCGAACCTTCACAACAAAAACACTGTGAAGGTTTTAAAAAGTCACATTCACAGCATTTTTGCTGTGAAGTTTCAAGTGTAAAATGTTGGTCTCACGGGTCTCACGAAAACAGGTTGGTCTCACATGATCCCAAGTCTATATATATATATATATATAATGCAAAGTAGAAAGTGGAAGAAGGGACCATCTCATGCTCGCATTTCACTTTATATAGTGTTGGTCCGGAATTAACAAACCATACTTTAGTTTATGTTGTCATGCATCCCCCCTATGGTAACAATTACTCAAATAAATGCTTTTTTTTAAATAAAAATAAATATTGAGTGATTTCTTGAAATAAATTCTTGAACACGGACACCATATAAAATTGGAAAGGATGAGACCATGAGTTCTTGATGATGTATACAAAAATTGCGTTTGAGAACGTTTTTCCATGCTAGTAGGAGTCATGTGCTAAGTAAGTAAAAAAGAAGTTCATAATTCAACTTTTTACTGACGGTAACTTTTTACCGGTGGGTTAAATTTCTTGCTGGCGACAATCACCTCCGTTGATAAGGGGTGCCCGGAAAGGACTACTTTTATAGTTGGCGTGAACTTATGTTTTTATGCATGAACAAAAGATAAAGCTATCTTTGTTATCACACAGGCATTCGAATACGAGAGATAGGTAAGTTGTTTGAGTGGTGTTTTTAGCTGATGTAAAAATAAATATATAGTGAACTACTCAACTAAGATTGTGATAAGACGATTTTCTTAAACTAGATGACGTGACACGTCACACGTTTGACAGTGCTATCATTCTAAAAGTTGAGTCCACCGAATTTTTAATTGTTGTTTTATTTATGTAGGACTATAAGAGTAACATCAAACAAATTTAATTCAAATGCATATACATTTAATATGTAATAACTGAAATTTTATGGATCCACATTATTATATCACAACAAAAATTATCCACGAACAATATTGAAGAATCTAAATGGTGTGAGACGTGGTGTGACAGCGGAGTTAAACTTCAAGCCTTGGGAACCACGGCTAGTGCTGTAAACGAACCGAACGAACACGAACGGATGCTTGTTCATGTTCATTCGTTTAACATAACCGAACAAACGAACGAACACGAACGGTAAACGAACGAAAATATTTGTGTTCGTGTTCGTTCGTTTAGAAATCAGGTGTGTTCGTGTTCATTTATGTTCGTTCGTTAATATACTAAACGAACAAACATAAACGAACGGGCTAAACGAACATAAATAAATATTATTTGAATTCAAATTAAATAAATAATAGATTATATATTAAATTTAATATATAAACGAATGGTAAATGAACGAACGTTCACGAACATAAATGAACGAACGAGGATTTTGTTCATGTTCGTTCGTTTAACTAAACGAACAAAAAAAATTATTCATGTTCGTTCATTTATTAAATAAACGAACTTTCCGCCGAACGGTTCGCTGAACGTTTGGTTCGTTTACAGCCCTAATGTCCACGGCGATGCCATAATGATTTTCAAGTCATGACTTATATGACAAATTTGTATATCATGTATATGATTATATGTAGACGCACATGTTTGTTTAACACTCCATCCGTCCCAAAATGAATGTCCACAATAAAAATGCCACAATTTTAGAATGTGTAATTATTACAACGTTTTTAAATAGCTAAATGACATTTTTACCATTGATAAGAGTGCCTAAACTTTCCCCATCTCACAATTAAGAATGAAATGAGAAAGTGAAAATTTAGTTTTGAATGAACGTTTATTTTGAGACAATCTAAATTGGAAACGTGGACATTTAACTTGGGACGAAAGAAGTATTATCTAGTGAGTCAAAGTTACGTAATTGTGACATTTAGATTCACGTCGAACATCATCTAAATGAACTGCTATATAACATTACTTTTTTTAATCACAAAACACGATAGCTAATGAAAATCTTTGTAACTAAACGAGCAATACCATCTTACAAATCACTTGTGCCATAAAGTATCTTATTTTTGCAGCTCGTATCACATTAAGATGATGACAAGACGTAACAAATACATTTGAAATATACATGTAAAGGTACCGTAAAAACATTGTAAAAATATTTTTATGAGATCATGCCACATAAATATATAGTTCAAAATGGATGTAACTTCTTTCAATTTACCTATGATTGAAAAAAGTGTATAGCTATTAATTAAATACTTGAAATTTCCTTAAACAACATTAAAAAAAACACATGTAAATAAATTTTTTGATTGTCAAATGTTTTTTTTTTTAACTAAGACCATCGAATTTCTATCGGGGACCATCAAGCTCTATCCAACACTGTGTCCAACAAGAGCGGACCTACATGGAAGATGAGGTGCATTTGCACCCGTTCCATCGTCCCAACATAGCAAATAAATTTTTAGCAATTTGGAAATGGCGAGGTGCTATTTTTTTTAATCGGGTATGAAGTCATGAATTTAATTCAAAACCCATTTAAGGTCATATCCATAAATGACCTCTACAAAGTGCATAGTGTTATCTTCTTACTTTTAGACCTCCACTCCCTCTGCCACCATTCAACGTATCGCACACATCTTCCAGCAAATAACCAATCAACAAATTTTGTTATGTTTTCGCATAACATTTACAGGATTTTTTTTATAATCACACGATGCTACAACTTGAAATTTTTTCTGAGTCCGCCTACGGTCTTCAACGTAAATTTACTACATATATCGAGTTCTTATAAAATCAACATATTTCATAAAATCCAAAAAAGTATAAGAAAAAAAGTAGTTACATACTTACACCTACACAAAATAACAGAGTAATCGACTAAACATGATCACTGTTCCCTGTTATTGTTGGTAGTTTTCATTCCAGTTTAGACTTGTTAGTTTCAATTTTAAATACACAAGAATTATAGAAAAAATAATAAGAAGAAAATAAAACTCAAGACGGAAAAAATTCAATAATTATAAATGAAAAAAAGGGAGCTAAAAAAGAAGAAGGTTATTTTAGAAAGATTTTGTAAACAATAAGCATAATTTAACATCAAAACATACTTCATGATGGATGTGAATATATGATGCATCATTCACTATGTAACATGAAGAATGAAATTAGTTTAATTTCAGGGAAATTAATAAAGTAGTTATTTTAGACTTTGATCTGTCTTTTAACCATTTTCTTCAGTATTTTAAAAATATCACTGTCTTCATAAGTAAGAACTAGTTGTGTACCCGTGCAATGCGGCGGAAGCCATGAATTTTAACGATTTTGAAGTTCCACTGCTTTTATAAAATAAGATTTTACGATGATATATGTTACATTTGGTTTTTACATATTAATACAATTTGAATAAATAAGAGTTATGGTTCCAATTACAGACTATCGATGAAAAAAATTGTATGACAGTTTAAAATCCAATATATTTAAAATCCAACATATTTAAACGACTCCACAAATGTATTCAATTTACACCAAGAGCAAAGAACCAAGAAACTTGAGTTTTAAGATAAACACTCAAAACCAATAAAAAAAACTACAAATTTGACAGATCATAAGTCATGAAAAGACAAAAAAGATGAGTTTTAGAATAAAATTTCAATTGCTTATTCTCTTTCTTATCCAGAAACTCAGATTATAGTTGAATTAATACATGTATATATATATATATATATATTTCAAAAAAAACCCAATAACATATTATACAGTGTAATTTGGACAACCTAACCCCAAAATATATAGTATATATATAAATAAATAACTATAAAAGTATAARTCGTAAATATTAAAAATATTTTWTCAYAGTATATATAATATATAATAATATAATTAAGTCAAAAACTATTCAATATTAGACTCATTTTGAAGGTATTAACGAGACGATTATAATGGTGTAACTTGTTAAAATAAAAATGTATTTTTTAAACATGTTTTAATTGATATACGATTATGTATGTTAATTTGATAAATGTTTAAAATAAAACATTTAAAAATAAATGACGTAAAATAAATTAATTATAGGAGTATAAAGTGTAAATTTAAAATTATAATTTAAGAGATGATGAATGTATGTAAGGAAAGAAAGGGGCGAAAAAATGAAAAATAAAAAAGTTATAAAAGATATTTTGATCATTTAAAAATTTAAAACTTTTATTAAATTTATTTAATAAGATAATATAAATTCCTCAATTTACATAGGGGTCAATGTATAAAAATAAAGTTTATGAACGACTCTTTTACAAGCTGAGAACTTAAGTTATGTTTTTGAAATATTAAAAATAAATAATTAAAAAATAATTTTAGAGTTTGAAAATAACTATTTTAATTAATTTTTTAATAAAAAAAATAAAGATATTGCCACAAAACCAAAGGCTGGGTCGAGGCTGCGCGCCCCAGAAGCATATAACCCTGTCATTTTCGATTTCCGAGCAAACCAAGAAACAACTCTCTCTCTCACTCCTCCTCAACTTTCTCTCACTAAACCTGCTCTTCTTCGCCTGAACACAAAAATAAAAATAAAAATGTTTAGGGTTTCCCTCTCATTCCACCTTCACTCCTCCATCCCAGCCCTCTAATGCTGCATCTCTTGGCTCTCTTCTTCACAGCAAGAACCCAAAGAAAGAGAGCCTTAACCAAGATTTATCAGTTTCTTGCAAGTTTTCAAGATCTTTATCTGTTTTTTTGACTTGATTCTCCTTCAAATTATTTTGTGTTTTCTTTTTAAATTTATGGAAAAGACAGATTCTAGAGATTGTTTAGAAACAGAGTGAGGTAAGCAACTCTTTTTCTTTTTCTTCCTTTTGTTTTTTTCTTCTTCAAAGATTTTGAAGTTTGGTTTTGGGGATTAAGAGAAAAGCACAGTGAAGTTACTGAAATTTTGGACCTTTTATGGAAGATTAAAACTGGGTTTTGTTTTAAATCTCCCCACAGCTTCATCATAAGCAAAAAAAACTCATTGTTTTGTCTGTATATTGGTCATATATAACTTTACCTTTTCTAAAATCTGGCTGTGTGAACTGAAAACCCTCCAAAAAGCAAAGGCTTCTGTTTCTTTCTTGTGATCTTTGTCTCTTCAAATCCTCAGTTCTTGTTTCCTTTTATCATCTCTGCGTGTTCTTTGTTTTTGTACCTCAAAATCTCCAAAGAAGTTACAAAAATTTAAGGTTTCTGTAATTGGGTTTCTTGAGATTTTGTCAAGAATGGCTATGGTTGCACAACATCAACAACATAGGGAGACCACCAGTAGCAGTAGCAGCTTCAAACATCAGTTAGATAATGGGAAATATGTGAGGTATACTGCTGAACAAGTTGAAGCTCTGGAGAGGGTTTATGCAGAGTGCCCAAAACCAAGTTCTTTGAGGAGACAACAATTGATCCGAGAATGCCCTATTCTGTCCAACATAGAGCCCAAACAAATCAAAGTCTGGTTTCAGAATCGCAGGTGAAAAAAGGGTTTATTTGTTTTCTTGTTTTATGCAATTGAGTTATCCTTTTTATTGCTAAATTTTGGTTGTTCAAATTTACTTGATTTATTATGGGGTTGTCAATCTTGACTTGAGATGCACATAGATCTTACATTTACTTGAATCTGAGATTTTTTATGCTAATATTTATGGTAGATTAATCATTTTTTGATCTTTCTAAATTGGGTATCATCTTTTAGTTCCGAGTGTTCTAGGTTGCTAAATATAATTTGAAATGGCTTTCCATAAATATCTATGTATTTTGTGCATTTCCCATGTGTCTAATCTATGGATTTGATGTTATTCCATGTTTCTTTATCCAAATTTTCTTGAAATAACACAAGGGCATCAATATTTTTTTTACGTGGAGTAATCTTGGAAGGAAAAATTGCAGCTTTTAATTTTCTTGAAACAACATTAAATTTTCAAGATTTCATTATCGGAGTAATCTAGGCTGGAAAAATAAGGGGTGCTATGATCTTTTCGATTCAAATACTACAGTAGGACAAGAAAAAAGAAAGGGGAATTTGATTCAGGGTAAAATAAGAGGTGAATTGTTGTTTACTCTTTGAGTTATGTTATTATTTCTTATGCAGATGTCGGGAGAAGCAACGAAAAGAAGCTTCTCGGCTCCAAACCGTCAATCGGAAACTGTCTGCCATGAACAAGTTGTTGATGGAGGAGAACGATCGTTTGCAGAAACAGGTGTCTCAGCTTGTATACGAAAACGGGTATATGCGTCAACAGTTGCACACTGTAAGCTGTTACTATGAAAGTTCGTTAACTCGTATATTTTACCGCTTTAACATGAATTCTAGTGTTAGGATTGACAATTAGGCACACGATAAATTGTCTTCTTAGCAAAGTGGGCTTCAAGCTTTCTTGTGAATTTTCTTATCTCCGTCTCTCCTAATGATCACCGTTCTTATGGAATTCTCTGCAGAATTCAGCGGTTACTGATGCGAGCTGTGAATCGGTGGTAACCACTCCCCAGCATTCTCTTCGAGATGCTAATAACCCAGCTGGGTAATTACAATCTTGTGATTGTTTAACTGTTCTTATGAGTTACTTGTGGCTTGGATTCATATCTTATTATCTTCTGTACATCTTCCAGACTCCTCTCGATTGCAGAGGAAACTTTGGCAGAGTTCCTTTCAAAGGCTACAGGAACTGCTGTTGATTGGGTCCAGATGCCTGGGATGAAGGTTCATATAGCCTCTTCTTAAACAGATTCATGGTTAATTATATAATTAATTAGTGGGTGTCGTAAATTTTCTTGATTATATTTCAGCCTGGTCCGGATTCGGTTGGGATCTTTGCCATTTCACAGAGTTGTAGTGGAGTGGCAGCTAGAGCCTGCGGTCTTGTAAGTTTAGAGCCCACAAAGGTACAGCTGTTCTATTAATCAATTGTTGTTAGAAGTTCATTTGAGGTTCGATTTCATCGCTTTTACTCCTGATTTTCTTTATCAGATAGTGGAGATCCTTAAAGATCGTACATCTTGGTTTCGAGACTGTCGGAATCTTGAAGTTTTTACAATGTTACCTGCCGGGAATGGTGGAACTATTGAACTTGTATATACGCAGGTGAAGATGAATCTTTCCGGATTGTATATAATGCGGTATCTTCTCAAAATGGATGATTTTAAATCTTTAATCTTCGAATTTTCATTTAGGTCTATGCTCCAACCACACTGGCTCCTGCACGGGATTTCTGGACGCTGAGATATACTACAAGTTTAGACAATGGTAGTCTTGTGGTAAGTTAATTCTAGCATTCATGATTCATCGTTGTATCTCGTGGGGATTAAATCTCGATGTATTTGTGTTCTTTAAGGTTTGTGAGCGATCCCTTTCTGGTTCTGGTGGTGGGCCAAATGCTGCTGCTACTACCCAATTTGTTAGAGGGGAAATGCTTCCGAGTGGCTACCTGATTCGGCCCTGTGATGGCGGCGGTTCGATAATCCACATAGTTGATCACCTTAATCTTGAGGTAAAAGGAGACTCCTTTGTGTCCTATTGCTCCAGTTTTATGGCAACTTATTGAAAAACCATTCTTTATTATGAAGGCATGGAGTGTGCCGGAAGTTCTGCGTCCACTTTATGAATCTTCAAAAGTTGTAGCACAAAAGATGACGATTGCAGTGAGTAGAATCTTTCAGTTTAACGTTGATCGTTCTCGGGGAAACATGATGATATTTCCTTAATTCCTTTTGTCCATCGGTGTAGGCTTTGCGTTATATTAGGCAAATAGCCCAAGAGTCGAGTGGAGAAGTTACATATGGACTTGGAAGGCAACCGGCCGTCTTGCGTACTTTAAGTCAAAGATTAAGCAGGTAGATCTTCATATATAACAATCAACTTATTGAACTATCATACTTCATATGTACGTTGGTCAAATATTCGTCATGATGTCACTCAGAGGTTTCAATGATGCTATCAATGGATTCAACGACGATGGGTGGTCATTAATGAACTGTGACGGTGCTGAAGATGTGATAGTTGCGATTAATTCGACCAAGAATCTCAGCACCTCCACAAATCCCTCTAATTCTCTCTCGTTTCTTGGTGGAGTTCTTTGTGCGAAGGCCTCAATGCTATTTCAAGTGAGTATTGTATTGACGTCTTGTCAAAAAGACCTTTGTTTTGAATAGTACTTCACTTGAATGTTTCAATATCGGTTTCTACTTTCTACGGTGCAGAATGTGCCAGCAGCGGTGTTGGTACGCTTTTTAAGGGAGCATCGTTCGGAGTGGGCAGATTTCAACGTAGATGCTTACTCTGCTGCTTCAGTAAAAGCTAGCCCGTATGGGAATCCAGGGATGCGGCCCACGAGGTTTACGGGTAGCCAGATTATCATGCCATTGGGCCAGACAATCGAACATGAAGAGGTAATTATTCTTTCCGTTTGTAGATATTTGGATCCTGACCATTAGTTGTCCTATGATTTCACCATCTTAAACCGGCCGCCTTATATATAATATAACAATGTGAAACGCCCTGAATCTTGAATTTGAATATTTGTTCTATATACAGATGCTTGAAGTCATTAGACTCGAAGGTCATGCACTTGGTCAAGAAGATCCTTTCGTTTCAAGAGACATTCATCTCTTGCAGGTGCTTGTTCATCCCGCTTGGTTAGATACATTAAAAGAATCTTGATTTGGTAACCAAGGGGCTGTTTACCAACATGAATTGGGTAAGCGGCTGTTTACCCAACGGTTATCCGGTAAACGCTTACCGCTAAGAGTAACACTTTCGCTTAACTTATTGGGTAAAATTTTAGTCCATTAAAACGGCATGGTATGAACATTTTTATCTGCCAAGTGTTTATTAGGTAAGAGTCATCATTCTCACTTAGTGGGTAAAGACTCCCGGTCCTTATTGCTCTTATTGGGTAAGATTCTCAATTCTTGTCATGTTCATTCGATAAGGTAAAATGACCCTGTGAGCACTTATTGGGTAAGCGTTTAGTAAACGGCCCCTAAGAGTCCATCCCTTACCAACCGGTTAGCACCTTGGTCAACATCATGGACTGGTAACAGGGGCTTGGTAAACAACATCATCTTTGACTGGGGAAGCGTCTCTTACCGAGTAAGAGGCAGTAAGCGGGTAGTAAACTGAAACAACCTGCCCCACATGGATAGACTATTAGATTTTTGAGCTTCTTATAACTCCCAAGTTATAACCTCAATGCAGGGGCGGACCTATTAGATCCCGAGTGAGGTCCCGTGCACCCTCTCAATCTTATCTTGTAAGGAAAAAAATTTGGGGTATGAAAGGTGCACCCTCTCAACCAAAAATCCAAGAAATCCCTCGAAATCAATCTAAAAGTTCTTTCCAATCAAACCAAAAAAACCCGAAATTGGCCCTCAAAATCAACCAGAAACTTAAAAGATCTCTTGAAATCAACCAAAAAACTTAAAAAAATCCCTTGAAATGATGGAATTGGGCTAAAAACACATCGAGCGACTTTGCGAATGCTTGATCCACCTTAAAGGGGCACCTGCGCCTGGCAGAATTCTTGGGTACAATAACTTCCACCATGATTCCAAGTTGATTTAGAGGTTATTGGGCCAGCATGTTGTTTCGGGCTATGGAGCTTTACAAAAAACATCCCCTAATATTGTTGCTGTTTTTCGTAGCTATGCAGCGGAATTGATGAGAATGCTGTGGGAGCTTGTTCTGAACTTATCTTTGCTCCAATTGACGAAATGTTTCCCGATGACGCTCCTCTTATACCGTCTGGTTTCCGGATCATTCCGTTGGATCCCAAATCAGTTGAGTCCATGTTTTCCCTCATCCCTTCCGTTTGTTTTCGTAACTTCTGTTGACTGAAACAATCTCGGTTGACTAGGGTGATTCAAAGGATGCATTAGTAACAACTCATCGGACCCTTGACTTGACTTCAAGTCTAGAGGTGGGACCATCAACGAACCAAGGAACATCTGATACATTGGGTTGCCAAAACACGAGATCTGTGCTGACCATTGCGTTCCAGTTTCCTTTTGAGAACAATCTAGCTGATAGTGTTGCGACCATGGCTCGCCAATATGTCCGTAGTGTGATTAACTCCGTGCAGAGGGTTGCCATGGCTATATCTCCATCGGGCTTGAGCCCGTCGGTATCTCCTAAGCTATCCCCTGGCTCACCCGAAGCAGTTACTCTAGCTCAATGGATCTGCCATAGCTACACGTAAGTTCGTATTTCTCTTAACAACCTTAACAATACAAAAAAATGTCGATCACATGTTTTGATGTGGCTTTTGTCTCAGTTACCATTTAGGTGTGGATTTGCTAACTTCTAGTTCAGTTGTTGGAGACTCGTTATTGAAAGATCTTTGGCAGCATCAAGACGCCATTTTGTGCTGTTCTTTGAAGGTACGCAAATGGGTTTTTTGAACGATCATGGTTGTGTCTAGGGGCGAAACCGCACTGCATATTCGGTTTGAAGATTTTCCTGAACTGCAAACTGCGCATAACATATGCCTCAAACCGCAAAAAAACTGCACCGCATTTTTTATGCGGTTTGAACCTACAGCACTTCAATCTGATAATTATAAAATACAAGTTTAAAATAAATTCGACGATGACGATTCTATATTCTATACAATAAAAACTTCCCATACGTATTAAATGTGTGATTAAAAAATGTGTAATGCAAACTAAATAGTTCGGCAATTTAATCCAAATACATCATAAAAGTTAACTTGAAAATAATTCCGACCATGATAATTGACAAAAAGACAAAAAAATAATAAATATTCAATAAATATATATTTAAAAAATATGCGGTGCGGTGCGGTTTGATGACTCGAAACTGCAAACCGCACCTCAAAACGCGGTTTGATGAATATGCAACCCGCACCGTGGAAGTTCTAAACCGCATTTTGGGATTCAGTGTGAGCGGTTTTGATGAACACCCCTAGTTGTGTCAACATGGTTGATTACTAACGCGTGTCTCTGTGGTTTGTAGTCGCTTCCGGTTTTCATTTTCGCCAACCAGGCTGGGCTCGACATGCTGGAGACAACACTCGTGGCTTTGCAAGACATCACATTGGACAAGATGTTTGATGAAGCGGGTCGGAAAGCACTATTTCCAGAATTTGCCAAGATAATGCAACAGGTACCACATCAACTAAACTTGGACCAATTCTTCTCAATATATGTTGAAACATAGGTCTCTTTTGGAGAGTAATTCAACGGGGTTTCATATATCCTCAAAGAAAATATGCAAAATTATAATATGTAAGTTTTGTTTTTTTTTTCAGGGTTTTGCATATTTACCTGGTGGAATTTGCATGTCGACAATGGGCCGTCACATCTCATACGAACAAGCGATAGCTTGGAAGGTTCTTGCAGCGGACGAAACAACAGTCCATTGTCTTGCATTCTCGTTTGTCAACTGGTCGTTCGTCTGATGAAATGGAAGTGTCTTGTAATATATAAGAAGACGACGACAATATTTAGGGTCTCGATTTTGGTCTGTAGAAACATGTTAATCGGATTTCAACTTGTTCAAGTGATGATGTTGATTTGTTTAATTTATTGCCGAGATTTTAAATTGATTCCATTTGGTATTTTGGGAGCCAAATCTATAATTTAAACTTGCCATAAAAACAAAAAAAAAGGTAACATACGGTAGAGATGTTGTGATCCAAATTTTGACGTGACATGTTTGGTTGGTGGTGTTACTAATTTTAGTGTAAATAATATGTTAATTTTAAGTCATAAAAACCATAATCATGGAAATATTTCGAATTTAGTTTTGTTTTTTTTGAAATATATAATATTATAAATCTATTTCTAGAATGATAATAACACTATGTTTTTTTATTTGATTGGTTGTTAGATATTTTATATTAACGTAATAATGCTTTTAATTTATTTAATCTAAATTAAAATTAATATAAAACTAAAAAAAACACCCGCCCCCATTTCCGCTTGTCACCACACAGCTTTCGTCTTTCTCTCAAATGAGATTTTGAGAAAATTTTGGACCTCCTCTCACCCTGTCTCTCGTCAAAATCAAATCTATCGATTTTTACTTTTTTTTTTTTTTTATAATTTTTGTTTTATTTTTTCCCCTCTTTCTCTCTAATATCTAAAACATAGGGTTTTTCTTGGATTTGTTCCAAGAAAGTTTAACGCGCAACCGTCAATCTCCAGCTACGTTCTATCTTCTAGGGTTTGTAGATCCAAGCGAGTTATAATTCATCATGTTTTGGAAACTTACAGCTCTATCTGCTTCTTCACCTGTAAGTTATGATAATACCGTTTTTTTTTTGGTTGAATTCAATGTAATGACTAGTATCTAGTGATTTGCATGGTTCTTGTTGTTCTAATTTTTATTTTTTACCTGTTGCCAAATGGATCCCGCTATGGTGTTTGTGCTATCTTATTAATTTGCGTTCTTGGCATCATTACGGCATAAATTTATGGTCTTTGGCTCAATCAGACCTCACTTTGATTCATAGAATTAAGCAATTAAGTACGTAGTTGATCGTGATTGACTTGTATTAGAAACTTAAGCTACTTATGATAACCGAGGTTTTAATTCACTTGGCTGTTTGTCGTGAAGGTAAGTATATAAAGTAATAAACAAACAATTCGGAATGTTTATTACCAGCTGCAGGCGATGATCTGTAATGGGAGCTGTGAGAGAGTATGGGTTTAAGTTAGCTTTATTGGCTTTGCAGGATAGTACAGAAGGGAATGTGACACAGCCAAAAAAACCATAAAATTTAAGAGTTACGAATTCCAATTGCTCTGGTTCCATTTTTCAAGCTATCCCAGGCCCAGCCACATCTACAGTATTTGCAGAAGTGAACTCTTTTACCTGTTGTGTGAATGTTTTCAAGATGCCGCAGAAACAGCAAGCCACAAAGCATAAAGATCCTATAGAAGTCATGTCCTTAGAACTGTAGCTAGAGTAGTTGGGCAGAAGGGGGTTAGACCGCTTTTTTTGGGGGGGGGGGGGAGTGGCAGCTTAGGATAGAGATATTTTTTTCCCGTACCTTTCGTATGTTTTGATTGTACCCACTCGTACTTTTTCTTCTTATTTCTCTTGTACTGCGTTCATCATATGTTAGTCATCATGCCTTTTACCTGTTCGCTCACATTCTTGCACAAGCTGGGGGTCTTCCCCTCTACTCTTTTGGGGTAGAGGTCAGGTCTGCCTACATCTCACCGCCAAGACCCTACTCTCGAGTGGAATTACTGGTCGGTTTGGTTCTATGTGAGATGTCCATAAGGAAACACAAAAGTGTTATAAGAGAAGCAGTGATGGTATGAATGGGATTACTTTCATTGAAATCTCAATTGACTTTTGTATAGCCTAAAAGCATGCCTACAAACTTTCTTAATGATAGGACAATTTGTTCAAACTTAGGACTGCTTCAAGAAGTGAATGGAAAAGCATGTACGACATCTAAATCAAGTGATTGGTGTGAGTTGCATCCTTTTTCTACCCTCTATCACTTGGTTTAGATGTTGCACATGCTTTTCCACTGGAGTCATGAGTTTGAATAAATTGTTATTGAGGAAGTTGTTAGTCAATTACTCTAAGTATCACTGGTATTCAGTGTATATTTTATTTGTATTTGATCAAGTCTTAGGTTGTTACCACGTTTGTAGGCATGTTTCTGTTTGAGGTTGTAGCTGTATAAAAAGCAAGTTGAGGTTTCAATAAAAGTAGAACCAATTTCATTCTTCGTGCATCTAGAATATGTGCATGTGCTTCCAAACACTCTGAAATGGGTACTGAAGGTTTAATCCCACTCCACGCCTCTTATGGTGTTATGGTTTTTAAAGATAAGGTAGGAGACTTATTCAATCAATAGAAACTCCAGTTGACTGCCTCATGCTAGAATTGCTTGGGATCGCCTTTCTCAGATAACATACTCCTTACCATATTCGTCACGGTCCGATCTTTCCTTTCTGCAACGCCATTTAGCTGTGGCATGTATGCTGCAGTTAACTGCCTCCAAATTCCTTTCTCTCTTCTAAAATTAATTAATTTATTTGAAGTAAACTCTCCACTGCGCTATGTTCATGGACATTTAATAGAAAGGCCTGTTTCTTTCTTTACACGTGTCTTAAATAACTTGAAGGAAGAAGAAACATCTGATTTGTCATTCAAAAAATTTACCCATACTTTTCTAATACTGTAAGTGTACTCGCATAATGGAGCACAATGCATCTCTATTTCGTCTTTCTCGATTTTATGTAATAGATTTGTGTGTTTTTGGGAGAGCGAGAGAGTTTCTTTTGGTTATCTGTTTTATGGATTATTTTGCCATATTAGTAAGGTCCAACGCTTATCTTGTATTTGAACATGTTTATCAGTTGGTTTTATAAATTTCATATGTGTTAAAAAGTTGTACGTATGTATAGTAAGTTGTAAATGTTGTATAATATAGCAAAAATATACTCGCATGTGAAATATACTAGTGATAGAAATTTTGAAAACCGGATTAAAAGATTGAAAATAATAATATCAATATGGGTATCAAATTTGGGATGGCAAAGCAAATTATTCAATCAATCATAATGTTTACTCCAGGCTGGTCTTTCTCTTGATGGCAATATTGAGATTCTATAGAAGATATATTGTTTACTGTCTCCTAACAAATGATTTATCATGCTGTTTAGGTTGAGTCGGTCCTGGACAAGGAAAATTTCACATTGGAAGAGCTCTTGGATGAAGAAGATATTATTCAAGAATGCAAAGCATTGAACAATCGCCTCATTAATTTGTAATAACACTTTACTAGAAATTTAAAGTCATCGATTTGCCACTACAATATACTTAAGTGCTATGTCCAGCAGTCAGGAGACCATAATCTTTCCATGATATTATATTATAAGTAGAATGACAGGAGTCTGTCTCTTGGATACTTAAAAGAGTACTGTTTTTTCAGCTTGCGTGACAGAGCCCAGGTTGAACAACTATTGCGCTATATCATAGAAGAATCTGAGGAGGATGCTGATAGCAAACGTACATTCAAGTAGGTCACTAATCATTATTTGATGCAGCTGGAAACTTCGAATATCTAACCATTCTCTTTTTACTTTTGCATCTTTATTTTCTTGGTATTGTCTTGTCCTCTATATTATTGGGAACAAGGTTTTTTATGTCTACTAATATCGCTTACATGCTTTAGGTTTCCTTTCATTGCTTGTGAGATATTTACATGTGAAATTGATGTAATCTTCAAGACTTTAGTTGAGGAAGAGGAGGTGCGCTATTAATTATTATGATTTAAGAACATTCTGAAATTGATAACACATGTATCTAACATTAAGTTTCACACGACCCCTTCCTCCCCATCCCAAATTTGCAGCTAATGAATATACTTTTCTCCTTCTTGGAGCCAACCCGTCCACATAGTGCCTTGCTGGCTGGCTACTTCAGTAAGGTATGCTCCTAAAAGCTACACCTTCGTCTAGATTACTGGTACGTTTATCTATTATAATTTTAGTTGGAGGCAAGGAGTGAGACAAGTGGCACAGCTGTCAAGATGGTAGTGGCTCTATCATGTCGTTTAAACTCAAGTAAAACCATTCTTTGTGTGTTGAAAATAGTAAAAACATGTGCAGTCTGAACTCTGAAAATGGTTCATGTACAGTACATGCCAAATATAAGGGTTTACATGTAAGTTTGTCTTTTGGGTAAGAGGATATGTGGGTCGAAAAGGTTCCTACTTCAGTGTTTTTTCTTCCTTATTTATTATTATTTCTATTAGCTGTATTATGATTTGGTGATCATCATTCATCTGGTAGGAAAAAGCTGTTGCTTAGATTTCTTCCTGCTTTTTTGTAGGTTGTGATATGTCTCATGTTGCGGAAGACGGTTCCACTTATGAATTATGTTCAAGTGAGTATACCTTGATGACATGGTTTTTTTGCTTTTCATTCCTGTCCTGTCTATATTTTTTTCAAAAAGAAAACAACCACTGAAAAGTACTACTATTCTCACCATATATGTTTTTCAGAGCAAACATGTAGGTTAATGCACATTCTGTCTCTTGTACCTGCACTCTATTTCTTCAGCAAAAGAAAAAGAAATTGTGAATTTGATGGTTGACAAGTATTTGCGCTTCTTGAAAAGGCCTGGTCACAATTTTCACTTAAATTTTACCACTTAAACAATGTTTCCTAGATTCAAATTTCTGTAACACTAATGCATATCAATAATTATGGTCATGCTATCTACATGCAAAACATCTTTCCAGTTCCCCACTTGTACATGAGCTCAATGTCTAAGTCTTGGGCATGGCCAGTTTTGGAATGGAAAAGGTAATTTAATGTTATACTTTTGGATCATTTTTTTGCAAATATGCCTTTTTTGAGTTGAGGAATAGGATTAGGAATTTGGATGTTGAGATGGATGTGGCCACGTGTTTTAGAATGTGGACATATGACAGAAAAAGAAACATTTTACCAAAAAGAGGTGGTTAGGGGTGGTACAGGCAACCAAGACTGTTGTTGTTAGGAAAGTACTGCAAAGAGATCTGCTGAGTGGTGTACCAATGGAGATGGCCTTAAATACAGGTGTTTAGAAGGATGCCATTTGTATCCTGGGACCCTAGTGGATTCACCTATGTATGTTTGCTTTTGGGCTGCCTTGTTTATAGTTTATTTGGTTTCATTTTAAGCCTATCCCTAGTAGTTTGGAATGAAAGGCTAGTTATTATAATTGTTCTTGTTGTCTATATGCTAGAAAATTCTCAGTCAAAATTTTTATGTTCGGTTTGAGGATGTCGGGCTTCTTGGTGTAGATGCTAAATACAAAATATATCCACTTCAATTTCATGCCTATAATCAGTAATCAACAACTAACTATGAATTCAAAAGTAGTTACTTAGACTTTTGTAAAAGTTTTGACTCTGGAGATGGTTTCAGTCATTGTTCTCTGACTTCTTCAATTTATGATTAAAACCAAAAGCTGTTGCCAAATATGTTGCTTATTGGCATTTGTGGTTTTTTTTACATCAGTCATATTGAAAATATGATTTAGTTTATATTTTTATATGGTACAGGCTCATCAGCATGTTTTCCAGCAGCTGGTTGATTTAATAGGAATCACATCAATGAAGGAGGTTGGTAGATTTCCTATTTGGTTTGCACTAAGCTTAGTTGCTGACTATATGCTTGAAATGCCCCGTCAATTGGACTTTGAGCTGTATGATTACTCTTAGTGAATAATTAGTTATTCTTACCTCTATACACACAGGTCTTAGTGAGACTTGTTGGAGCTGATGATCATATGTACCCCAATTATGTGGAAGTTATGCAATGGTTGGCGGATAGCAATTTGTTAGAGATGATCGTTGATAAACTGAGTCCATCTGTGAGTAAAATTTCTTTTTGATATATGAATACTATCATGCATTTTTATTGGAAACTCAGGGGTTTCCAAGTTCACGGCGAAGCACTTGTTACTTCTTGTGTTGTAATTGTAGCTAATGTTGTAGACGTCTGCATGATATACTAGTGAATTTTTAAAGGCCTTTTGGAATGTTTTCATCTGTTGTGGCATACACAGTTTAGTTGTATTTTCTGATAAAACAAACACCTTAAGAGTATGAAATTAGAATCATGGCTGTGATAATAAGGAATTCCTTAGGGAAACAAAGTTGATGTTGCTGATACTGAAACAAAAGAAACAGACCTAGATTGAAGCACCTTTTAGGACATTCTGGTTTTTGTTTGATGACCTACACATGCAAATTTATCTTGCCTTATTTTTTGCTTCATTGGAAAAAGATGTTACGCACTTTTTTCAATGATCGGGTTTTCATCATCTGTTGTTTAAATTTAGGTTTGTCTAATATTTGCTGTGACTTTTCATCCATTTCCTCAGAGTTCTCCTGAAGTACATGCTAATGCAGCCGAAGCTTTGTGTGCTATAACTCGAAGTACACCATCTCCACTTGCCTCTAAGCTTTCTACTTCAAGGTTTGTGTTACTCTGTATGCCGAATTCACTATTACTTCTTCAAATACATATCCTTTAATGGTTCTCCATTAATGTATTCTTTCATTTTGTGTGTTCTTTCTTTATCTTTTTCAGTTATGTTACAAGGATATTTGGTCATGCTTTGGAAGATTCACATTCGAAATCAGGACTTGTCCACTCATTATCTGTGTGTATATCCTTGTTAGATCCAAAAAGATCAGTTCCTTCTTCGTTCTTTAATTCTTTTCGAGGTCAACATGTATACGAATCATCTGTGCAAGTTAACCAGGAGACTGTAGGTGCAATGCTGCCAAAACTTGGTGAGATTTGTACATATCATGTCAGTTATACGTGTGATGGTTTTTGTCTTAAGCTTCTGTTCGTTAAATGCTGTGCTCTTTTGTTAATTCGTTATCTTCAAATGAAATTTATACAATCAAAAGAATACTGATAATTTCAGTATGCCAGCATGAACTGTAAAAGTTCTGTTTTAAGTTATAGATTCGCTACCACAGTGGTCCTCTTTGCAGTTGGTTTTTTTATTGATAGTTCTTATGCCCACCCATTAGCATTGCATAACTGCGCCTTGCTTGGGCATGTTATATCTTAGTTTCAGTGATCCATAGGTCTTTGCTGCAGTCTAGACGGTATATACTTTAGTTTTATAGCATGTAAGAGAACTTTTCATTGGGAAGGTTATGCCTTCTAACATTGAGAAGAGGATATTCTGCTTTTCCTTCTATTTTGCCGCTGTGGGCCAATCAGTTGTAGTGGAGGTTACTTTTTCAGTTCTCAAATCATGCCAACTAAACCTTCTTCCTTTCTGCCTTCTTTTTCTCGTGGTATAGAGCAGTTACCTGGAATGGTACTTTTCCATTTTAGAAAACCAAGTTTAAACAATAGTGAGACAAAGCACTTCAAGAGTTCTACCTCTAGTAGCACAAAGTTCACTTTCTTGAAGAAGTACAATTATCACATAAACTAACACCAATACAAAGGAACTGTTTGAAGTAAATGTTTATGTTTGTTATTGAATTAAAATGATCCATGCACAGGCTTAGAGTTCCAGATATTGATCCAAAACAGAAGTGAACTGTATGAACTAAGAACATAAGACAGCTGTAAGCAGCATATTCAGTATTATAGTTTGTTTCCTTGAACTAAGTTCGCTTGGGGTGAAAACTTGGGAGTGGTTTTAAGGCCAGTGAAAAAGGCTTGTTGCTCCTATCCTGCTTATCTAAATTATACTAGGACAGGAATATGCCATTATACATATTGCAATCCAGGACAAAACTGATACTTGTCTTTGGTTATAGGTATTTTTTTTGGATATGTTAAAAGATGATGAACTAGGGTGACCATGCAGTGAAGCATATCACTGGCTGTGTGATGTAAAAAGGAATCTGATTAGCACAGCTGATGCTAATGCACTAGTTTTGTGTGTTCATCTTTCTTTTTGTTTGAAAATGGCAAGTAAAGTTGAGAGTTTATGTCCTAATATCATGGACTTGCTTTGTTAAATAATAAGCATAGAAAGGATACTGGTCACTCCTGAATATTAATTGGTGAGATGATCACAGCATATGATAGTAGTTATACTATAATTGAGTTCCATCTATTGCGCATACGATGATATCAAGCTTTTCTGATGCCCGTTCTGATTTCAGGTGACTTGTTGATGTTATTGAGTGTGTCACTGGATGAGAAAATTTTACCAACTTCATACGGCCAATTAAAGCCTCCTCTAGGGAAGCACCGTTTAAAGGTTGGTTTACCTGGTTCTTTTCACAACCTCAGTCATGTCAGTGTTATATCCTACTTCCTCTCTATGTATGATAATGAAAGTGACAAAAGAAATTGGTTTAAATTGGATGGTAAAAAACACTAGAAGCTGGAGATTGGTTGGAGGAAACGCGAAAGTATAATGGTCTAATAGGTTACCACGTCACAAATATGATAAAGCTAAAACCACCTTTTTTCCAGGAATATATGTCTGTTGTTCTTTTAGTCTGCACTTGTAGTACCCTATGAATCATGTTTCACTTTTGTGTGAGATCGTTTCTTCTCTCATTCACTACTCATGAATGGTGATACTATCTGCTTGCAGATTGTGGAATTCATTGCAGTTTTACTGAAGACCAGAAATGAAACTGCAGAAAAGGAATTAATCACCTCTGGAACTATTCAAAGAGTTCTTGATCTTTTCTTCGAGTAAGATCCCCCTTGTATATCCTTTTTGCCATGTGAATAAGTTACGCTAGTTGACAGCAAAAAGGCCCAATTTTGGTAGACTTATCAATCAGCATGGTGCAGAATCTAATAATTTCACTTGCTTTAATGGATGTAGGTACCCATTTAATAATGCTTTGCATCATCATGTTGAGAGTATAATATATTCCTGCCTAGAAAGTCGAAATGACGCCATTATCGATCATCTATTTCAAGACTGTGGTATGGTAACGAAGGTTCTACAAACAGATAGTTGTCCCACCCTTTCTGGTAAAGTTAATCAGGTGAGTGGTGCTGCTGCAGTGGATGTAAATCTTCACTTGCTTGTGATCCATATACCTCTCTCTAAAGCAGCTATACTTTTTTTAGAGCGATTTAACTATTTGAACCATCATACTTGGCTTTCTGTTGCAAATAGACCATTGTTTTTGTGAAAATGCAAAAAGCGGCATTTTTTGAGAATGAGCGATTTTGGTCAATAGTTCATATTCTTGAAGACTAGTGGTTAGTATCAAAAAGAAAATGTGTTGAAAGATATTAAACCATTGTACTTGGCATGTTGTCAAACCAACCATGCTTCTCGTCAACTTGGAAAAAAGAAAGAAAAAGAACTAATTAGCATTGTTGTAATTTTGGACGAATTTGTTATTTGAAGTTGAATAATTTAACTCTTAATTATTAATGTGACAAATGGCAAAATATATCTGACCCGAATTCTACCAAGGACAGGTGAGTTTGAAGTAATACTTGTAAACCCATTGACGGTAAATTTTCTTAAAGTGGTCAAACCCCAATTCTACCAAATAAGAACTAATGAACATCTTTTTTGATCAACAATCTAGAAGTTCACTTGCAGCAAAGTGTCTCATGTTGATTGCTTTGATATGAATACATTAGTTTTTGGGTAGTCATGTGAATGACAGTACCTCTTCCTCCTCTTAGCCCAAAGTTTGAATATAGAGTCGTATGTTGTGATTTGTATTTATGTTTCAATTCTTTCTATTTCAGGTTTTTATAGTTTCATATAGTGATATAACTGTAAATTTTGTTTAGCCCCAAAAATAAAATAAAAATTCTTCTTTTTTTCATTTTCAAGTTGAATTATGACCAAAAGTTGAATTACGAAGTATATAATTGGAGCAGAGGCATGAGTGTCTGTATTGAATTGTAATGAATTATGAGAAAGTGGGTTGGCATTAAAGTGTCAATCATTACATCATAATTTTAGAATTGTAAAAAGAGGTCGAAAACTATTAATTCAAAATGGCAGGTGTATTTTTTGTTTTTGTAAGATGGTTCTTTTGTAATGAAGTGCCAAGTATGATAGTCTCCAATAATTGTTAGCTCATCATATTTTTGCGGTGTTGGCAACTAGGTTATACAATTGAGCCAGGTCACTTTCTCTAAAAGTCACTTTTATTCTTGCAAACGGCAATGTTCATTTTGCATTTTCATAATGGTTTGTTTGCCACAATACACAAAGTTCAATTGCTGAGAAGTTAATCATTCTTTTTTAGCATAAAGCTGGTTAGTTTACTGTGTTCAAATTATTGTTTTTAAAAGTAAGAAAATATATATGTTCAGGATTCATCTATATACTATTGATTTAGAGTTTAAATCTGAAAAACAATTTCCGAATAATAGGTTACTTTAAGCTTATCTCATGAAAATGTTTCATATTACACATACTATTTTGGATCTGCAAACCAAACACATATATAACATTCACTGTTGGTTATGTAGCCAACCTTGCCGGCATCTGGGAGAAATGCACCTCGAGTTGGGAACCTCGGACATGTCACACGCATTGCCAATAAGATCATGCAGCTGGGAAATAGTGATAGCCGCATCCAGACACACATCAAGGTAGGTTGTTATGTATGGAAGTCTGATTACCATGTCCTTCCATGTAAAAGATAATCTCAAGTACTTGCTCTTTAATATTAGTGTAGTATCAGCGAAATCTTAAACTATGATCTGAAGTTTCACATTGATAATGCATTATAAACCCCTAAAAAATGTGGTTGTTGGTTACATTTGCGTGGCAAAAATCATTTTAAATTCTATTCTGATCTAATCTTACCTGCCCCCGAATCAGGCTCATCTAGTCCACTGTGCTGTTATAAGAGCTAGAGTGGATCTTTTGATTGCTTGGCATTCTTATAATGATGAACTTAAGTAGAAGCTTGGTATCCTCACCTTGAGATCATGGTACATTATATTTGTTCTTGTGTGCTAGAAAACCAAAAGTTGTTCCAATTTATATTTCTTCACTTGAGGGTTGGCAAACTGTTATGTAATCTTTTAAACTAGTCTATGTAACCCTTATCTTTTTGAGAAGGTTGTCTCAATATTGGTATTAAGAAAATGCTTTCTATATGTTTGACTGTTTAAAATGGAGAGATTCTGTCATTCATTCCTTAATTGGACACTTGTTCTTGTGATCTAGGAAAGTCGTGAATGGAATGAGTGGCAGGCTACAGTTCTACAGGAGCGTAATATGGTTGAAAATGTGTATCGATGGGCCTGCGGGTATGCTTCTTTTACCTGCTTCTCTGCTACCATGTTCTGAATATCAAAGCATGTTATATCATTCGTTGATGTCTGTATATATGTTTATGTTATTTATGCATGTACATTCTTGTCAGGCTACAGAAAAAAATGTGGCAAGACTGCAGCATTTATAGTCGGCCTTAATTGCTGTTAAAGATAATTTATAGATATTATTGACTCTATGGCCTCCGCAATAGGAGATGTGTTGGGGAAGATTATGCAATGGCAAGAACAGTCAAGAACTGGTGGAGGGAGGATAGGAGTGGGAGATGGGACAGTGAACTACGTTTTACACGCCTTTATTTTCGTTATTTTTCATAATATGTGCATTATCTATAGCTTCCTTTCCTCCGCAAAATCTTGATTCAAATCAAAACTTGCTCCCTACTCACTTTCTCTCATTAACATCCTAGAGCTTCGTTATTGTTTATTTTCTACCTGTATTTCGAAAATATTTAGGCAAAGCAACTGAGATACCATTTTTTAGTAGGATATGAGTGGATCTTCTCATTACAATTTGCAAAACGAAAAAAAAAACATTCACTGTCGTGAAAATTGAGATTGTGCAACCAACTTTTGGGTTGTGAAGTGATGTGTTTGTTGAAATAGAAGTCATCCATCAACTTATGAACTCATGTTTTTAAACAGAGGCGTAGCCAAGGGAGCCACCCCCCAATACATGTCCAACCCCATTAAGCTTTGTTTTATAAAAAGATTTTAATATTAAATAAAGAGGCTCAAGCCCCATATATATCACAATAGGGAAGTTAGTATCGCGTTTGATACGGGGAGTGATCTGGTGCATATCGATGCATCTCATCCTGATGTGCATCCAAGAGTGGAGATCCCTTCTTACGCTTCTTACCTTAACTCTCCTTCTCACCGGAGTCCAATCCTTAGTAATATTTGGTTTTCATTTAGGCAATAACATAACTTTAACTTGACTATTTACACCTTAATCAATTAAATTTATTTGAATGTTTTATACTCGAATATAATAGTATAAATCTACGCTGTCAAATGCGGCGCAATAGCACCGCTATTGCGGCGATATCTCGGATAGCGATCATTAGCGAAATAACGGTGGTCAAAATGAGGTTTAAATTGCGGTAGCGCAATTATCGGTGCAATTTACCGCAATTTTGATCGATATTTAGGGTCAATTGCTTTCGATATTAACGTTACTTTTTGGGGGAGTTTGGGCTCTATTTTCAGTCTTTGTTTTTAGATGGGCTTTATAGGGATGATGATGATCACGTTGGAGATGAAGGGGGAGAAGGGGAAGGGGGGAAGCTAGCCTAAACGAAGAAGTGAACGTATTTGATGATGTTGACTCATATGCAGAACCTATTGCTTGCGATTAGCTCAATTATGAATACTTTTCCTATTTTGCAAATGATATGTTTTTGTAGGCATATTATATATAATTCTTAGAAATATTTATATGAACCGCTATTTTTGGACCGCTATACCACCGCTATAACCCGCTATTTCAAATATCGATCCCGACCGCAATTTTGTATTTTCACCGCTATAACAGCATAGTTATAAAAATTATAAGTTGTCTACAAGTTAAAAAATCCAAACCCTAGTTTAATTGGATTTAATTGTTGATCTTGAGATATTATAAGTTGTTTTAACTTTTCAGATAACATATGTGTAAATTATAACTTGTTTAAATTTATTAAAAGGTGTAATTAGTCAAGCATAAATCAGACTTGGACCATATCAACTTCATATCAAAGCACCATTTTAGTCCGAGTGGTAGCTGTTATTTAACAAAGTGTGTCATTGAACAATCGGACCCCCCTCAATCAAAATTCCTGACTCCGCCTCTGCTTTTAAAGTTGTTCAGTTCATGTTCTACGAAAGTGGTACTTATGTTTTTGCTTATTTTCCTGCTAAAAGCCTAAAACAATACTTTACTTGTGGAAGGTGGATGAAATCAGGTCTGGTGCTATTGAATGTTCAATTGCCTAGTTCCTTGATGTGTTAGGAGCTGGTTTCCTGATGGTAATGTCTGCTTTTGTATTGATAATTTCAGTCGTCCATCTGCACTACAAGAAAGAGGTAGGGACAGTGACGAGGATGACATTCATGACAGAGACTATGATGTTGCTGCTTTAGCAAATAATCTAAGTCAAGCATTTAGATACAACATATATGACAATGAAGAAGGTGAAGAGGTACGCTGAAGTTTCTCCTTATGTGTGCTTGTGTGTACTCTGTTTACAGAACTTAATTGCCATATTTATGCATGCCTTACCCTAATGCAGGGTCATGGAACTCTTAATCGAGATGATGAGGTAATATCCCGGTCAATTTATTCATTTCAGCATTGTATGCTAGCCGTAAATTTCAATTTTATTACTGCCCTCGCCTAAAAGATTAGTCCACTCCTTATTTTGGAAGTTCAGCTAACTTTTCAAATTTGAAGCAGAGCCAAAAAATAATTAGCTTTGTTACTCTTAACATGTTTAACAATACGTTTGTCATGATTTAATGTAGTTGTTGCTTCTTTTTTGCTTGAAGCTAAAAGATTTTTATTTTATTTTATTGATTTAACGTGAATAGTAAACCATTTGACACTCCAAAGTAAAAAAGGGTCGATCTTTTAGATGGAGGTAGTATATAGCAATTTGGATTCATGCCAAATCATGTTGATGCGGGAATGTCCAAACTGCCTTAAAAAATGAAACGTATGCTGTTTCAATTGTGAAATGCAGGACGGTTATTTCGATGATGAATCCGCTGAAGTCGTCATTTCATCCCTGAGGCTGGGTGATGACCAAGGCAGGTAAGCTTCTGGTAGAAATAAGATGCAATTTGCTAGTTTTCTGTTATATTGAAAGAATCTTAGCCTAGTTTTACACCTTGATGCTGAATGTTGATTTCATTTGTTTTACTGTACAGCTGATTAGGACAGATTAATTTACAGCTACTGATTGCAATTTTTATCGTGTTTATGTGAATATGATCCTATTGGAGTCTACATTTGACAGTTTGAAGTGTAACTGACTAGTTTTTTGTGGTGGCAGTTTGTTTACAAATTCCAATTGGTTTGCTTTCCAAGACGAGAGGATGGGGGAAGCACCCACTTCAGCTTCTGAAATGATGGACGAGATTAACTTGAATGGGACATTAAACTGTGGTAACAGCAGCAGTGACGATGAGGTGGTGGTTGGAGAGGACGAGGAGTTGGTGGTTGATAACAAGTATTCCAACAATAGTACATCTGTTTCTAACCTTAACCCCTTTATCGAAGACGATGATGCACTAAATGATGGAGGTTTGAAAATGGACAAAAATAGTGATGTTGGTATCTTTAGATGTGAGACAACAGATGAGGATCTGTTTGCAGATAGGCCTATGCCTGAATGGGTAGGATGGGCCGAGTCTTCCAATCACCCAATTGCTGCTGACTCAGGGTCAGGAGTGAACCCTTTTCTGGATTACGAAAATACCCCTAGTTCATCGGAGACGGCATCAGTCAGTAGCCCAAGTGCCAATGGCACATCGACGTTGGATTCAAACCAAAAAATGCCGTCGTTGTTTGAGGAGGACGTGGAATTCGTAGGGGTTGAATTAGAAGGGACAGAGAAGGCGATGGATATGGCTCTTAAGGAGGACATCGTTGGAGAAGCAGGGCCGTTGAAAAAGAAGGTAATTGCTGAAAAAGAGAAGGCAGATGGCAATGGAGGTGATTCAAATGATTTTAACGACTCCAACTACTGGAGGGTTGAGCAAGAGGTTTCGGTTTCGGTTTCAGAGTGAGTGAGGGTTACATCTCCTCCTGTTTAGTAATGTGGACGAACCAAAGCAAGTTGGTTTGGGGGTAATGCAGCTGCAGACATGAATGTACAGTATGATTTTGTTTTCAGAGTTGAGGTTGGTTTACCTATTTATTATTATTATTATTTATTATTATTATTATTAATTATTTTGTATCATCTTGAAAAGATCCTTTTTTTTTTTAAATTTATCATCTGTTAGTATTTCATGCCTGTAATGTGTTGGATAGTGTATTAATTTAATCACAGTCCGTTAGTAAGTGTTTAATGTGGATATTCAGATTTAAATGGCATCATATTCCTATTCCTATGTATATCATATTTGAGTTGAGTTTGGTTTATTTTGTGTTTCAATTTATACGTAAACTTTGGGCCGTTTGTTTAATGTTAACCGAGTTATTTATCTTATCGGATGAATATGAGAAAAGTCGAGAATCTTACTCTGTAAAAGAATGACGATAAAGATAAGGAGTTTTACTTAATAAGTAAGAGTGATGATTCTTACCTTGTAAATGTTTACCGGATAAATTATTGCATATAATGTCGTTTTGACGGACTATAACTTTAGTGAGTAAAGTAATTTAGAGTGTTAATTCTTAATGACAAACGTTTATTGAATAAGCATTTAGATAAACGGTTCTTAAATAATGAAAATTATTGTGATATATTATAAAATTTGATTCTAATATTTTCTGCATTTTTTGATGGATTATATAAAATTGACGTGATTTAATCGAATAAATCAATATCCCTAAGATAATTCTTATACGAAATAATTCCTTTATTATCACAATAAAGAAAAGGAAAGTGTTTTATACAATTATACTTCTAATGGACGAGTGATGTGGTTTAGCACACGTGGCACGAATTCTCCGGAAGACTCTAGAACCGTCTAAAATAAATGCCAGGATCAATTCAATCCTGACGCATTTAAAGGTTAGCGTTTGGTGTTGAGTTGTGTGAATCAAAGAAGAGAAGATGATCGAGGTGGTGTTAAACGACAGGCTAGGGAAGAAGGTTCGGGTGAAATGCAACGAAGATGACACCATCGGCGACCTGAAGAAGCTTGTGGCGGCTCAGACGGGAACCAGAGCCGATAAGATCAGGATTCAGAAGTGGTACACTATCTATAAAGATCACATTACCCTCCAGGATTATGAGATTCACGACGGCATGGGCCTCGAACTCTACTACAACTAAATTCAATATATAGTTTGATGAACGCTGCCTCAACCTGTAATGTTTTTCCAACATGATTGATTGTAAGATTCAATACAATGTTTCCTGCATCCATCCTTCAGGTATGTTATTGATGCTTGAATATGCCGGCCTGTTAGATCATGGAATGTTTTCTGTCGGATCATAACGGATTTGATAACTAATCGGTGCTTCAATATCTATGAATGTTAACTATGTGGTTGGCGATTCTATAATCAGATTATTAACTCCGTTTGTTTGCATCCTGTTTATGATGCAATGATATCTTGTTTGATTGTTGCCTAATTGTGGATTAAGACTCCCAATACTTGAGATCCTGTTTGAGACTTTGGATTATAGAATGAGTCTAGGAAGTTAATTTTGTTATTCAAGGTCAAGGGGCTACTCTTCTGTAGACTTTGGCTGAATGAGGTTTTGATATTCCGTAAACACAACCAAATGGATTAATGTGATGACTGAAGATTGAGAGTTGTGTCATCAATCATTAAGATTAAGATTAAGATTAGGATCACGATTAGGACATCTCTTGTCCTATATTAGGGTATATCAAACTCTTTTCATGTTTGCCTACCACCTGAAATGAAAAGGTTTTGATGCAAGACGGGAAGAAACCATTCTGGGCTTTGAAACACAAAGAAGGGCCACCTTATGAATTTGTAAGGATAAAAACTAAGGGGTTGTTTGGTAGGCTCTTAATGGTTACATTAAGAGCCAATCGCTGAATCGGTCAGAGGTTGCAAGTGTTTGGCAAAAAAAAAACCACCTCTTAATGGTTACAAACACCTCTTAACCATTTTGATCCTTATACTCCACTCAACCATTCAGGGGCTGTTTTTTTTCCATCTTTGCCCTCATCTACTCACGCAGACCTGCTCGCTTCCATTCCTCTTCCCCTTCCATTCCCGATCGAAGCACATATCCTCTTTAATCGGAGCGTCGGTCGTCCATCGTCGGTTCCCGTCGTCCTTTCATCGTCGGTTCCCGATCATCCTTCCATCGTCGCACCCCGATCGCCTCGTCTCCGGTCGCCTCTTCGTCGCCGCCTCGTCGCCGCTTCGTCGCCGCCTCGTCGCCGCTTCGTCGCCGTCGCCTCGTCGCCTTCCACAGCCTCACGTCGCCGCCTCGTCGCCTTCCACAGCCTCACGTCGCCGTCACATTTGGTTTAGGGTAGCATTTTTCTATCTAGGGTTTGGTTTAGGGTAGCATTTTTCTTTGAAAATTGATGGTGTTTATTGCTAACTTCTTGTTTGTAACAATGTTAATGATGATTGGATTACCTATATTTTGCAATTTCTTGAGGATTTGTGATCTTGATATGAAGAACATGAAGAACATCATCTTTTTTTCTAAAAGAATGTTTAGAATTGATTGTATTTCTTGAGGGTTAAAATGGTAATTTTGCTGTCATTCAGAAAACAATTACCAAACAACTTTGTTTCATTTAGCACTTAACCATTCTGACCCTCTTAGCCATTCTAACCTCTTAGCTATTCTGAACTAAATCATTCAGCAACTGCCAAACAGCCCCTAAAAAACAGTCATAAACGATGGACAAAAAATGTAATTCACTCTAAAATTATGGATAGATATGGAACGATACTAAATACGATTTTTTTTATTAATCTGGATATCTAACCCGCCATGCGAGCCGACTAATCCCAGGACGATCAGCTTTTTAGATAGCCTAGAGTCACTGTATTTGAACCAAAAGGATTTTTATTCCTCCTTGGATTTGAACCTGGAGTCACTGTATTTGAACCAAAAGGATTTTTATTCCTACTTGGATTTGAACCTGGGACCACATGATATTTTTGATCTTTGGAACCAAGCTCAAATCAATCAGATACCATTCTTGTTCTTGTGGTTATAGATGACATCTTTATCCACATGCCATATTGCTATGTCATATTATTCTTAGAGGAAAAGATGTTAAATTAAAATAGTAAAATAACCATTTACCATAGTTAATTACATTTGTAATTCTCGGTAAGGGTTGGTTCTTGTGTAAATGAGGGTTAAGACGAGAAACTCCAGGATGAGATGCACCTAGATCAAGCATAATTTATAAATGAGTTTGAGATCAAAGGGGATCAAAGGTTTCTTACATTTCTTACCTTTAACTCTTTTTTCTCTTTCGGTTTCTCATCAAACCATTGGACCAAGTTCGTAATTCACTGGCTCGAAGTGGATAAAAAACTGGTTTAATTACATTCATGAATTGGGGTTTACTATAATATATTATTAGTGTGTGAACTAATCCGGATTGGGCTGTACTATCTTATATTATTATTAAGCTTTGAGAAATTTGAAGATTAAGTTTTCGTCCCAAACTTGATTTAATTTTTGGACATAAGATCAAAATAGGGTTGCTTATGTTGTAGAATACTTTGAGGGATTCAATTTCATGTTTGGTTTAAATGATTTCATGGATATGAAATCAGGTTTCATTGAAATTTCTTAAACATAGATTTTGAAATTCAACGAGGGTTTATTGGTATTTTATAGGATTTGTATTCAATAATGGTTTAAAAATATGTTGGATATAATTAATAAAAAAGTAATTTAATTATTTTTTTATTTTTTTAATAAATAATAACATTGAATTCTAAATTCTTTCATGAAATCCAAATTTCTCAAGATCATTCCATTAAACCAAACATTCCCTCAAGTAACATTAGGATCTTGTCTGTTTTACAAGAGCATCTTCAACATGTTTTCTATAATTTTTTTAAAATAGAAAACTCAAATTTAAGTCTCTAGAAAACAATTATATTCAACTCCAACAAATTCTCTAATTTAGATATTTCAACATATTTTGTATTATAATATTATCTAATATTATTATTTCAAACTAAAGGGTTTTTAGTCTAATGGTATCGTGTTCTTTGGCCTCCTACGAGGTTAGGGGTTTAAACCTTACCATAATTGAGAAAGTTGTGTAAGTTTATTTGTTGTATTTGTCGTATATAAATATTATATACTTAAAAAATATATTATTTCAATACATTTCTCTAAAAAACTTCAAATAAAATAATAGTATAAAACCTCATTTGTCTATTTTAAAGCATCTATTGGAGATGCTCTAAGATCATATTGGAATTGAAATTGAATTTTTCCAATCTCATGTTTGTATTTTATGGGATTTTATAGGTTTTGTATGTAATGTTGTTTTATAATAATCAATTAATAAAAAAAAGTAATTTGATTATTTTTTATAATTGTTTATAATTTGTTTCTATAAATTATTTATAAAAAATAAAATTTAATTTCATTCCAAATCCTAGAGATCTACACACCAAACATTCTTTTAGATTGGATAGGATTTAGTGGTATTTGTAATTCAATTTCATTCCAATCACTATGTTTGATTTGAAGGATTGCTTTGATTTGAAATGCCGGGATTTTGTTAAAATCCAACAAACATTGGATTTAGAAATCCCATGAGGTTTATTGTATTTCATGTAATTTCTTAGGATTTGTATGTAATAATATTTGAAAATATGTTTAAACATTTGTTCTGTAATAATCAATTAATAGAAAGTTAATTTGATTAAGTTTATAATTATTTAAAATTTGTTTCCATAAATTATTTATAAAAAAACGAAATCAAATCAAATCAAATCAAATCCTACATCCTAACTTACCAAGGATTTCAATTTCTAATACAAAATTCAAATCTCTTAAAATCATTCCATCACATGAAATGCTAAATCTTTCTACAAAATTATGAATCCCTCAAAACCATTCTATTAAACCGACCCGTGTTTGGTTTCGTCGGATGGAAATCCAATTATTTAAACTAACAAAAGAAGTAAAATAATAAAATTCGAAGACCAAAGTAATTAGAGGACCTTTTTCTCATTTTCTATATTGTTTTTATTTGAATTACTATATCCACCTGCAACATTAAATTTTCATCACCAACAAACAAAACATGAATTCACCTGCTGCATTCCTACACCACTTTATTACGAAAATTGGGACATGCAGCATTAAAAAAATATAATAACAAAAACACCAAGCCAATGTGCTTATAAGAAAAGCAAAGCAACGTCACGCCTTTGTGTTATCTTGATTTGACGACACCTAAAACTAACAAGACAAATGTAACGGCAATGTTGTTTTACCAAAATTCATATTAGGCATCATGTCCATGTCATGTCATGTCATCATCTAGTGTTTTACACCAACCGGAAAAACGACAACATATGACGGTACACGGATTTCATTCTTGACTACATAACCCAGCAACTGTCTTAACAAAATAAAGTCAAGTGCGACATTACTACGCAAATATGGTCATAGGCCCCGTCTGGTTCGAAGACTCCACTCCATATTCACCGGTTTGCAGATTTGTATTCCATTTTCTGCAACAAAGAGCAAAAAGGCATAGATTACAAAGTGGTTAAAGCTAAACAAGATGTTGCTGAATCATACATATAGCATTATGCATTTAGAATGCCTCCCCCTATTGGTTGATTTTATATGCTACTTGTAGTAAGCGCCGGTAGAAATAACAACAAATAAGCATAATTGCAAATAGATAACAGTTGAAGAAATGATATTGCCGTTAACCTTTTATCATCAAGGTTGCATGCATCCAACGGAATTGTAAGCCTTCTAGCTTTTCTTGCAAATTCACTGTGCCAAGAGAAAAAAGATAAATAAACCACGGAGAAATTTGACTTGTCCGTTTATGCACTAAACAACGGTGACGCATTTCCATGCCAAAGTGTATTATGTCAACAGCAAATACCAGAAGAGATGCAGAGTATACCTGAATGGTTCATCACCAATTCGTTTGACATCACCTGTTGAATCTTTATATAGCACATGAGGCAAACTGTTAAATGTTTCAATTCCAAACAAGTTTGCCAGTGTTTTCTCAAGTTCTTCATAAGACTCGAGAACAGAAAGGTCAATAGTTCTACCCACATCCTCTGATTCCAAAAACACTTTGCAATGACCACTATTCAATCCATGCTCACCAGATTGCAAAAATTCATTTGCATTCCTGTTTGATGAAGGTTTTGCCACTGGAACTTGGTCGCTAGAGATTTGCTGCTCAATGTGAATCGGTTGACCAAATAGTAAAAACAGAGGTGCCTTTACTTTGTGATCACTTTTGTCCAACTTAAGACTAGAACTTCCCATGGTAAGCAAGCATGATATATCATCGTTTTTGCCATCCATGGGTTGTTCAATAATGTCATCAGGATCTTTAGCATGTGAATCAAGGTGCTTGAGACTGGAAGGAAAAAGACCCAACTGCAGTTTGTGGGTAACGTTGAGATCCAATAATGGGATCCCAAATCGAGCATGCCTGGCTCCCTGAATGCTTGCAGGAACGTTGTCAGGTGGACAACAGAAAGGACTGCTTGGCCCAAGGGGATTGCCTGAAAAGGACGAAAGAGTATAGTCGCCCTGAGGTAAATCTGGGGGTTGGGGTAATCGTAACTTCTTTCTCTGTGGTGAGAAGGGTGACAGATGAATGACTGGCATACTTGACACCAGTTCAACCAACCATGGACTCACTCGCTTCACATTTTGCAAGAGATCTGGTTCATCCCAAGTGACCTACATCATGAGGAAAAACACACGAATCAAACTTGAAAGTGTAAATGGAGCACAGATCTGCATCTAAATTTGAGATCCGACAACTTCAATGGACAAATCCAAGGTTCTAGGATTCACATTCATATCCGGTTGGCATTACCTGGATGTCCAAACATCCAAAATAAACTCAATTTCTTCTGTTTTTCTGAAGCAGCAATCAATATGTTGGAACTAACTTAAATTCATTTATCTGAAAGAGGCGAATTAACAGCAAAAAATCATGGCATGCATAAAGATGGTGCATTTTCCATGCAAATACTAGCGTACTACTACCAAACTAAGTTGGAAAGAATAAGAACAAGTACTAGATAAGGTATTGCAAGACTGACAACATGAGTGGTTTTTTATTTTATGGGTGGACTAATAAAGTTGCCAACAACTCTCTACAGTCTACAGGAACTGACAGATATGGGATATCCATTAGTAATCCCATTTGAAAGAACCCAAGACCGTTTACAGTATTCTGAAATTCACAGAATATGAATATAACACAGCAAGTTTTATAAGACGAAAGCAGTACAACAAATCATTTTCACGAGTGATTAGAGAGAGAAAATCTGGTCAGGACAAATATGTTAGTACAGTAATATTTTGGACTATAAGACCACTTTCATTTGTCAATTTGTTCTTGTATTATTTTATGTAGGCCCGGAGGGAGTATTAGTAAGGATGAAAATGATCAGAATTTGAAATCTAAAAAGCTCCTGGGAAAGCACCACCACTAACTGTTGAGGGCGTTTTAAAAGAGAGGGAAGCAGGATGAAATTAAAATGAAAAAGCAAAACGATAACTGAAGGGAAAAAAAATCGATGATCCCACAAAAACCTAACAATCTCGTGTCAGAAATGCTACGGGAATTATAAGGAGCTAAGACGAGAGCCAGCAAAAGAGTATATAATATCGGTTGTGTCAGCATCCATCATTTGACCACAGCATGTTGTATTTATATTCTTATGCAAATGAGGAAAAGCATACATGACAATTTTCAACTGCAGGACAAGCTAACCACCATTAGATTGCAATAATACAAAAAATACATTTCTTATCGACCAAGATTTGTCTTAAAGGAATCAACTATCTTGGCATCTTATGTTAAACCAGTCGGCATCTTTCTGCCAACATAAAACTAAAAGAACAAGAAAAAAAAAATCCATTGGGCATCATGTGGTTCAATCAGGACTCCAACAACTACAAGCAGTAATTTAGTATGTATCCATCATTTTAACATGACATCTTTGCATGTTACATACCAATATAACTATCACTAATGCCGGATGGTGACACAGTTATGGCAGGATATGTATCATAAAAAAAAATCAGTGAAGCCATTGTATCTAAAGGGTGTGAAGACGCAGTGAACTGTTAGGCTGTGACACCTAACAATCCGAGTCGACACAATAATTATATAAGAAACCATAAATTTGCAGACGACTGGATGAACCAGTTGAATTCAGACCTGAACTAAGAAGGGTATCTTTACACATTAGAAACTCTATTTAACACATTAGAAACTCTATTTAACACATCAATCCCACGATGCTAACTGAATGTAATGAATGGCAGAGATAGGATCAAAGCCATATGTTTCTAGAGACAATTTTTAAGAATATGTGTTACCTGTAGAAGCCGCCATGGAGAATTTGGCCAGTGAAACGGGTCAGCAACTTCAACAGAAGATACTGTTCCCATAAACCAGCTTATTCGTGATGAATCTTCTGTTTCAAATGGCATTTTGAACCTCATTCCAGCACACCACTGACTGCTCAATGAAGCAGTCAAAGAAGAAGCCTTCACACAAAAATCTGGAGTGCTTGCACGTGGGTAATAAGCAACCTCAAATGGCTGCCCATTGGCAGCAAGGGATGTGGCTTCAATAACATCTTCAGGCCTCACCTTTCCCCTTCCACTGGAATTGATATTTCTATTACTGCCACTTCTTATCAACTTGTTCTCATTGTCACGCAAATAGGCAGAAAACCCCCCATAGAAAGAAGCAGAGCTTCCAGAATAAGAATTCCAACCAGATGAGGAATCAGGACCACCAGCGCCCCCTCTCTTAGCCCGCCTAATTCCAACACAAAGATCCCCATTCTCTGCCCTCACAAATACAATGGAATCCCCAGCAACCAGCTTTTTCTGGTTCACAAAAGTACTCCATCCAGTAGTCAGAAGATGCCTCCTAGGAGTCCCCCTATAGATATGCCTAAACTTCCAAGTCTCGCCATGAACATCCTTAGCTATCACAGTTTGAACAGGGGGGTCAGCTGAATAATCCAAACGAGGAAATATCGTCTCCGCACAATACCGAGGGACAGAAAACCCCCCACCATTGTTGGCGTCAGACTGAGTCAATGTTTTTGCAAAAGAAGATGGTTTCTCTGAAGACTCAGACAAGTTACGAGTCCCAACCGAAACCCCATCATCCACATCTCCATTGTAACCATTATCAATGTTTCCTAGAGGCATCAACCTAATCTTGGCATAGACTTCGTCGGTTTCCAAGTCTGCCAGAAACTTAACATCAATCACCCTGCAAAGAATTAAAGCCGGAACCCTAGGCATCCCACTAAAATCTACATTAGTAAGTGTATGTTCAGCATGACCCTGAGGGAAATAGTAGACATTCGAACTCGGCAAAGGCATTTGAATCATCCCACCAGCACAGGCATGCCAAAGTTGGGGGTTTACACCCTTGTCTGCCTCTTTCATGCTTACAGACCGCTACCTAGATCCCAAAAACCTTGAAAATGACTAAAATCAAAGGCCGCCTCCTTCTCTTTCTCAGTAAATGCTGTGGGAAGTTAAAAAACATCGGAAGATTCAGAAGAAACAAACACAACAGTAATCATCCATCCTCAATAGTCAATAGTAGAAGACGATACTTGTTACATAAAGAAAGGAGACAGTAATTACCTTGGAAGCTAGGTTAAGAAAAAGGAATATAGTACGTAGCGCATGCCTTGAGCGTACAGAGACTTGAATTTTGAAAATATCCTGAAACCACAATGATCTCCTGCCGTAGGTTGTATTATCTTCTCACCAATAAAAACCCTAAGTACAATGAAAACCGAGTGTGTACCCTCAATTCCACCTTCAATAAAGTTTCAAGTCCAAAATACATTTGTAGTCCACATCATTCGGACAAAAACCGATCTGCAAAAATCTCTTCCGAATCACACATTAAGCGCCTCTCCAACAACCCGAAACAACAGCTCCATCGTCGATGGTAAACACCTCCGAATCGGTTGGAGAGATTCAGAATGGAGGAGAGTATTCATTCATATAGAGAGAGAGAGAGAGAGAGAGAGAGAGAATAGGCATGGCAGGTACCTCCATAACAAAAGTTAAAAATATTCCACTTTCTCTCTCTAAAACACACTGTCCTGTCCACACTCTCCTCTCTCTGTGCAACCCTACCAGTAATGTCAAATTTGTTTCCCCTTCTTTCATCTTTTATCTCCCCCCACTACTCTCTTTCTAAAACGGAACACACGTGTACATGCAACCAATTTTAATAACTCCATCAAAAATAAATATCTTTAAAACTTATCAAAAACCAATTTATATCATAAACATGTGAGACACACATATATATATATTATAAACAAATTCTATATTGAAGTGAAATTAAATTAATTAAATAATTTGGATGGATTTTCACTCAAACTACGTACGTAACCCATGAAAATAAGAAAAGAGCATCTCATGTCGACATCAAGACGACTGACAAGAGAGGACCGAAACCAAGAGGAGCCACATTTGATATACGAGTTATTGTGCTGACAATCCATTAACATTTATGTGTTTTCTATTTTGGTATGAAAATCATAAAATGCCTTTCAAATATTATGCTTTTACTAATCTTATGCTTATAACTTGTCAGTTGGTTTGGTATTACAAAATTAAATAAGGAGTAAAGCGTCGTTTATCAAACGTTTATCCGGATAAGCGATTATCAAGTAACATTACCTTACCGGATGAATATGGTAAGGATCAAGAATCTTACCATGTAAGAGCGAGACAAGGACCAAAAATCTTACCCGGTAAGTGAGGGCGACGACTCTTACCACGGTAAACGCTTACCATGTAAATTGTTGCATACGATACTAAATCTTACCCGATAAGTAAATAATAGTGTTAAATTTTACCGATAAACACTTACCAGGTAAGTGTTTGGTAAACGAATCCTAAATGTGTATATTTAACGGTAACAAAAACATGCAAAAATGTGAAGTTCTTTTTAAGTTTTTTTGGCCTCCAAATCAAATAACATTTAATTAGGCTATTTTTAGTAAATTAACTTATAAAATAGTTGGTAGTTGATAAATAAATCATGTTTAATAAATATTAGTTGATAAACATGTAAAAATAATAAAAAAATTAGTCAGTTACAACTTTTCATAATATAATTAAACAAAAATCC